CACCAACATCTGTCATTTCCTGATTTGTTAATTTTAGCCATTCTGACTGGTATAAGGTGGTATCTCACTGTGGTTTTAAAATGTCTTTCCTAGATGTGGAATGACATTGAGCACTTTTTCATATGCCTGTTGGCCATTTGTAGGTCTCTGTTTCTGTCTTCACATGTACTTTTCCTTTGTCAGTTCTGTTTTATGGACAGTTGTCATTGTATTTAGGGCTCACTCTTATCTGAGATGAGCTCATCTCACAATCCTCAAGTAGGTGTACCAAGACCTTTTTTTCTGAATGAGATTAATTTTACATGATCTGGGTGAACTTATATTTTGGGGAGGGCAACATTCAACCCATTGTAAGTGATATACATTAGGTTTATGTATGTATATGACAGTTGTACTTTATTACTTGGTGATTATAATATGCCATTATTTTACATACATGTATATACATTAATATATAAAAACATATACATGCATACATATACACAAATGTATATAAATATGTATATCTCATGTCATCCCGTGGATGGGGTGAGCAGCAGAGGAAGTTGTTAATTGGGAGTTGTAGTTTCTGTAGGGAATTTAAACACAATGATAAAATCTAAGAATTAGTCTGTTTTTTATTATCACTATGTTCAGGCAATTTTAAATACTGTCAGTGGTAAAATACCTCTTAAAATTATCTTTTGCTGGTCTAGGTAGAAAATAATTACTGCAGGTACTGTTGAGTATTAATAATGAACTTGTAAACTCCAAATTAACATGATTTATTGCTTATCATTTGAAAACATTGTATTTTACATAGAGGTTAATTCCAAAAACTCCCAGCACTATTATCACCCCACAATACATATAAACTTATTTATACATCTTTATTTTGAGAGTAAGTTTATAATAATTCTAAATCATTAGAGCTTGCATCATGTGCAAGTCAGGCCTATAACTTGTGGGGCACTACGTATTACTTTATTTAAACAACATAGGGACACTTAGGGGGCTCAGTTGGTTAAGCACCTGCATTCAGCTCAAGTCATGATCTCAGGGCTCCTTGCTCATCAGGGAGCTTGTCTCTCTCTCTGCCTGCTGTTCCACCTGCTTATGCTCTGACAAATAAGTAAATAAAATCTTAAAAAAAAAAAGATTATAAATAAATGATGACACAGTCATTGTAAAAAAACAGAATTGACATAATATTAATTCTGATATCATATGTGACCACTTGTGGTTTTTATGTCTGTGTAATAATTGTTTAAAAAGAAAAACAAAGCAATGTTATTACTTATTGATCTTTTAAATTTTTATTTTTGGAGGGGCTAGGAAGGGGCTCAGGGAGAGAGAGAATATGAGGCAGGCTCTATCCCCAGGGCGGAGCCCATCATGGGACTTGATCTCACAGCTCTGAGATCATGACCTCAGCCAAGATCATAAGTCAGAGACTTAACTGACTACGCCACCCAGTTGCCCCTAATTATTGATCCTTTGATTTGATTTACCCATGGAAAGGCAAACATTGTGACTAAGGGTACATTCTCTAGAAGCAAATTGCCTTTGTTTGACCTTAACTTTATCACCTGCTAGCTAGAAGGTCATAGGCAAGTTACTTAAACTCTCTGTGTCCATTTCATCATGTGGGTAAAAATTTAAAAATTAAAAGATAATTATAAAATATGGATTAATAAAAACACTTTAGACAATTTTGGTAGGATTTAATGAATAATCACACATATTACAGTTAGAATTGTACTTATAACACAGTAAGAACTTGATAAAGTTTAGCTTTTATTATTATTAATTCAGATTATTAATTCCCAACTGGCTCAGTGGTACATGAAGAAAAAAATTCTTCATAAAATTATATTTAATACAAAATTAATGCATATTATTGTAATACAAAAAGAAAAGATCTAGGGCACCTGGGTGGTACAGTCCATTAAACAAACAACTCTTGGTTTCAGTTCAATCTCAGGGTTGTGAGATCAAGCCCCAGGTGGGCTCCCTGCTCAGGGAAGAGTCTGCTTAAGGCTCTCCCTCTCTGTCTGCCCCAACCCCACCCTTTCTCTCTTAAATAAATACATAAATCTTTTTATAAAAAAAGATTTAATGTTTGGAATCAGTACATAAAATGAAGAAGCTGGAAGAAAATACACTTGAAACCAAAATTTACTTTTGGAAAGTGGCTTAGTATTCTAAAATCATGATCCAAGTATTACACAGGATATCATAACCACAGATTAAAACATTTGTAGGGGTGAAGGGCCAGTGAGAAAAGAGATGGAGGGAATTAATGCTTATCTTAATAAACTATTTACAACAAAACAAAAATGTATTTTAGGCAATAAAATGAGGGAAACGGGGAAAGAAGAAAGATTGAAAAGCTTAAATGGCTGATTGGTTTTTCAGTCTTTTTCCCCCACTCTCCTAATAATATTCAAGATGAATGCTGTAATTTCCTACAGAACTTTTTGTCATGAAATATTTTGTTATCTATGCTGTCCAATATAGCAGCTATTAAAAGAGTTTAAGGTACTTACTGATAATGATAAAGATTCAAAGACAGGCAATTTGGGTCCAGAAAACATACTCTTGGTCACAATGTCTATCTGCCTTTCCATGAGCACTAAGTCTTTAATTGTCAAAATATCCATAATAAGTAACATTGTCTTGTTATTTATCAGTGTCACTATTTTTTTAATTTGGATCTTACAACATCCTAAATTATTTAATTACAAAATAGCAAGTGAGGTTGAAATGATGGTCATGGATCTGTAATTAGAATGAATCTCAATTTCTACTGCATTACGTTGTGTAAGCGGCATCTAAAACCGTTCAACATCAGTTTTTACTGAGTAGATTAATTAATTAAAAACCTCATGTTCATCATCATCGTGTAAAACTTTAAGTTGTAACCTCACACGTCTATTTATTAATAGGCAGTGGTGTTAGATAACCATGATATTGAGAAGTCTCATTTATCCATCCATTTCTTTCCCCAACACCATCAAGTGTAATGCCACTAACAACCGCTAGGGTGAGACGAGAGAGGCCTCACTTTCATCTTTACATGGAATCTTGGAAATTGCACAGCACCATGACGTGCGCCAAAGACGTAGGCGTAGACGACGAACAAAAGAGAAGCCCCACCATCGATGTGGCTTTCCCCGGCACGCCCGCCCCGGGGCGCGTCGCAACACTCCGCACCTTCGCTCGCTCCCCGCAATCGGGCGGGCCCTGGTTGGGCGAAGCGATTGAGCTTTACTGTGGAGTGGAGTCTCCATCAACCGTTGAGGACCAGGAGGTGGTGGAAGGCAGTGGAGAGGCTGGGTAGAGGCTGGGGGAGGGCAACCGAAAGAGGCTGCGGGGGAGGACGACGGCAGCGCCGAAGGACACACGGAGGGGAGGCTCCAGCCCCTCCAACAGGCGGGAGCCCAGCTCCAGGGGAACCAGCAGCTTCCTCCATCTTGGTTGATGGAGGCGGGGAGCGGCGTCTGGGTCTCTCCACCGTGGCACCCGTCCCCCAGGGGCCCCTCAGGCGCAGACGCTGGAATCAAGGGCTATCCCCTCGGCCGAATGGCGGAGCCCAGTTGGGGCTTCGCGGGGCCAAGTTTCCCAGTCCCACGGGGTTTGGTTTTGAATTGGTCCCAAGTTCCCACAGCAGTCCCGACAAAATGGAGGACGTCGTTTCCTCCTGCAGCCATGACGGGAGGTGGGGGGACAATTCCCCACGGGGGTGAGGCGAGGGTGGAAGTGTTCCCACTCCCCTCAGCACATTCGGGAACTCACTTCACGCGCTTCCTCGACCTCCCACTTTGCCTCGCTCCAGCCCCTTGCCGGGCTCGCCCCTCACGGGGGGCTTCAGGCACTGGACAGGGAGGGCGTTGGGGACATCGAGGCCGCATCGCTCCTCGGGCAGGGTCGTTGGGAGCGGCTCCAGGGGCCTGGGCGCCCAGGCCCGAGCTAGGGCAGGCGGCCACGGCCTCCGTCCCTCGGGCTGTGCGGGGCCCTGGAGAGCACCCTGAGTCCCCAGGTACCGAGCCGGAGACGGCGCAGCTGGCAGCCAAACTCGGGCTGCCTGACCCTGACGGACCTGGGGGTGGGGGCGGTCTGGGAGGCGGGGGTAAGGAGGGGAGGGGACGCGGCCGAGGGCCGAGCGCGGGCGGAAGGGGTAGATCAACGGCAACGCCGGGGGGTGTGGTCTGTCCCTGATGGACGGACCTCCGGACCACCCCCTCGAGGGGGATTTCCTGAAAGAAGGCAGACGTAGCAATGGACGTCCCCGAGGCTCCCCGGACCGCCCTTCCAGCCAACCAATGAGGGCGCGGGGGGCGGGGTTTTCCCGGGCTCGGCTGCGCCGCCGCCGCCTCCGCCGCCGCCGCCTCCGCCGCCGCCTCCGCCGCCGCCTCCGCCGCCGCCTCCGCCGCCGCCGCCGCCTCCGCCGCCGCCGCCGCCGCCGCCGCCGCCTCCGCCGCCGCCTCCGCCGCCGCCTCCGCCTTCCTCCTCACCAGCGCTAAACCCCGGACTGGACAAAGCGGAGTTGTGCGTGTTGCCGAAGGGGCGGGCGGGCCGCGGGAGGGGAGGTTCGTTCCGCGGAGCCGCAGCCAGAACCGGGTGAGGCTTATCCCCGCTGTCTTTCCAGTTCAGGTCCGATGATAGTGGGGGTGGCCGGGAGCAGCGCAGCCTCGGGATGGGGAGGCGGAGATGGGTGAGGGCAACCTCCGGAGCCTGCCACCGACCTGGGGTTGTGTCGGGGCCTCGGGGGCTGCTCCGGGCTCCGCTCATGTCTCAGGCGTCTTCGCGTGCGGCCCGAAGGGCTGCGAGAGTGAGGGCGAGGCCGGGAGGGCTGGGTGAGGCGGACGCCAGAGGCGGGGGTCTCTCGGGGGTTGGGGGCTGCCCGGGTCGGGGCTGTGGGAGGTCGCGGGCTATTTTTCCTTTCTTTCTTGCCGGAGCGGGGGGGAGGTCGCGGCGGCGGCGGTGGTGGAAAGTGGGGGGAGGGGCGCTTCAGTTCGTTCTCCCGCTCTCCGGGCTGCGCTCCCACAGGAGGTCCCGGGATTTCCGGTCGCGGGTGCTGCGTCTTCCCCCACCGGGCGCCCTCCGTCGCTCTTCCCTTTCGTGGCATTTCGTGTCTTCTCTTCGCGTCTAATTCGGGCAAGTTTCTAATGGCGGACAAGCCGGGAAGTCTCAGAGTCATAGCAGCTGCTTGGGACAATTGTAAGAGATAGCAGCCCGGCGGAGACTTGAGCTTTCCCTCATCTCTGAATTGGTGCGGGGAGGGACGGGAATGACGCTGCGTGTGCAAAGTTAGGAGGGAATATAGTTCCCTTTTTGGCGTCAAGGTAACATTTGCCTTCCAACCACCCCGCGTGGCCCTTCTCTAGATCGAGCTTGCTGCCCTCCGCTTTCCGTTTTGTAATTTAAAGAACGGTATGTAGCTTTGTCTAGTCGTTGAGGTCCTTATAGTTTTTATTATTTTTTTTTTTAAACCTCGTCTCTCCCCAGCATTGTGGGGTGGGGGAGGGTGGAGGAGGCACGGATACTCCTTGATTTCTTACTCTCTTCCTCCCTCTGGTAGTTAGGAGTTGGTGCTGCTTCTAAAGTGGCTGGAACTAAATCATTTCTCATCCTTCTCTGCTGTTGTTCTAGGATCAGGAATCACCTTCAGACTTACCTGGTGAAACGTTGCCCGATATTAAAAGAAAACATACTCTTTGTGAGTAATGGCACCCTGATTTTTTACTTTATACACTTAGTGCGGCAGTTATGCGATTTATCTTTGCTATCTTGAAGGCAAAAAGCTAATTGCTTAGGTGGACCCTGTCCTCAGAGCCAAACCTGGGTAATCCCTGGGAAAGCACTGGTAATGCTTGCTGATAAAAACCACTGGCATTTTCTAGAGCTCCAAAACACGACTTAAGTTCGTTTCATTTTTAATACTTTGAATTCAACTTCTTGTTCTTTCACAATGGATAAAACTTTTTTTTTTCTTTCCTCTTGGATTAAAGAAAAATGTACTGAATTTTATGTTGTATTAAGGTTGACAGAGATTATTTTTTGTGTTTATCTTGTGCTTGAAGAGGATTTGTATTTAAGTACCCTAACAGTCTTCCCAGTAAAAGTACATCAGGAAATATATAATGTAGTAGTTACAGTAATGTGGTTCTAAGATTGATCACTGAATTGGTAATGACAGCCTGAAGTTAATGCGTCTTTTCCTTGTACCAGAAAGTAATCTATGTGATGTTTCATTTTGGTACAATAAAATGTCCAATTCTCTGTCAGATATTCAGTTAATGGCTTCTTAACATCAATCCTTGTCTGAATAATGATTTTTTTGGGAGTCTGAATAAAAATTTTATTGGGAATCTGAAGATGGTGAGATTTGGAAAAATAAATCACTATATCTATTACCTGAGATTCAGTACAGTGTTAGATCCTGCCTATTTTGTCCTTTAAAGCTGATCCAACAATTTACAGTTGGTTATTGAAAAGAAACTTGAAATTAGAATAACTCACATTGTAGTATTCCTGCCTTCCCCCTTGGCCTTGTTGCTCCTTACCAAACTTGACATTGCACTTAACTCTATTCTTCACAGTACACTATTTTAGTTAGTTAGACCTAGGACATGTGGCCTCACAATGTAGATTGCTATGCCTAGCTTTTGGGAATGGAAATTGTTTCAGTTAGGTAATTTACTTAGGATCCTTGAAGTGGTGATATTTCACATTCCGTGAAGTTTTGTGAGCTGGTGGGATGTAGGTATGGTTCTAGAGCTATGCTGGGCATTCACAGAGAAAGGCAACTACTGGGGACTAAGATTGGTAAGGCAACAAGTCACTGACTCAGTTATTATCACTTAGAAAAGCCATTTTTCTCAGAGTATTCTGAGGTATTTGCAGCATGATGTAGTACAAAAAACCTAGATTTTAGTACCAGCCAGAATCATGTTCACATTTCTACTATCTTGGGGCGCCTGGCTGGCTCAGTCGGTAGAGCATGCTACTCTTGACCTAGGCATTTTTAATGATCTTTTTACTTATCACCCGTCTAGAGTACTGATAATTTTGTGGTTTTTCATTTTATTTTTGTCTCTGTTGGATTATCTACTTCTATTTCCTTTTTTCTTTCCTTGTAATTGTTATTAGAAGCTTTCATCAGATATTTATTTTTGATTGGTCTACTTGTGATTAAGAATTTGGAAGTACAGAAAGCAGGTTAGAAAAATGTGTGGGGCTTTCAATTTGTGAGCTCTGTAGGATGATTTTTTTTCACCAAGTGGTGGGTCATCTCTTAAGTCAATATCTTCAGGTCTTTTCTTTTTTGCTGGTTCCTAATTCCACAGAGAAGAGTGTTTCTGAGAAAAAAGTTTTCCAGGGAAGAGGTACATGCCTAGAAGATTGTGATCTGGTTGCCAGCTGTATGGGAATCAAGTGGGAGGAGACATTTCACATGCATTGATATTGAACCATTTACCCATGCTTGGTGAACCCCAGACAAAAATGTTATGTTCTATCCAAAGAATAAAAGTCTAGAACTTGTGCCAGGGTAGGAAAAAACTTGTCATCCTCAACCTGGAGGGAAAGACTGGATCTGGGATCTCACAAACTCATTTTAGCTCCCCCTTCCCCTGTTTCAGGGATATCTGGACCTACTGGTTTCTGAGCCTATTGAAAATTCTGCAGCATGAATCAGGATGTTTCTCTCAGCTTTTCCACTCACTCTTAGAGTTGGTTTATGTCAGGCTGAGATCTAACTACTCATCCATTCACTATTAAGGTTGTAAAATTTTGTTGCTTTGTTTCTTTTTGTTGCTTCTTTCTTGTTCTTTCTTTCCTTGGGAGTAGGAACTTTACCTTTGTTTATGGCTGTTAAAAGGAAATGAAGTTAGTTGTATGTGATCATTCTATCAACTTAATCCCTTCAAGCTATTGATTTCTAGATAGTAATTTTATTTCTGATTAAATGGGAATGCTTGTGGCAGATACTAAACAGGAACTAAACATGAAGTTGGCTTTTGAGCTGAGATTATTTTCATGTAAATATATAAATATTTTTATAGTAAGAAAGACCTGTGTGACAGTGTAAGTCTGCAGAGATGCAAAAGGACATGTTTTTAGGACTAATTAGTGATTAACAACAGTTTTTGTAACCTACCTCTTGATTATTTTTTATAGAGCTTACAGTTACAAGTGGCCAAAAAATGAACGTTTAAAACAATCATTTTTTTATGGTGTGATTTTATTTTTTTTTATTTATTTTTTTTTTTTTTTTAGATTTTGTTTTTAACTAATCTGTGCCCAACGTGGGCCTCCGACTCAAAACTCCAAGATCGGGTCGCCTGGGTGGCTCAGTGGGTTAAAGCCTCTGCCTTCGGCTCAGGTCATGATCTCAGGGTCATGGTATCGAGCCCCACGTCGGGCTCTCTGCTCAGCAGGGAGCCTGCTTCCCTCTCTTTCTCTCTCTGCCTGCCTCTCTGCTTACTTGTGATCTCTCTCTCTCTCTGTCAAATAAATAAAATCTTTAAAAAAAAACAAAAAACCAAGGTCAAGTCACATGTTCTAGCAACTGAGCTAGCCAGGTACCTCAATAATTAAATATTTCTAAGTACTTTCCTGTTGGTTTTTAATTTTTGAAGGTTCATAAAGTAAGTTAGTTTACTTTTCTCATCATGTGCTAATCTTGTCATAATCTAAACATTTCTTTTTTTTTTTTTTTTAAGATTTTATTTATTTATTTGACAGACAGAGATCACAAGTAGGCAGAGAGGCAGGCAGAGAGAGAGGAAGGGAAGCAGGATCCCTGCTGAGCAGAGAGCCCGATGCGGGACTCGATCCCAGGACCCTGAGATCATGACCTGAGCCGAAGGCAGCGGCTTAACCCACTGAGCCACCCAGGCGCCCCCATAATCTAAACATTTCTATTTGAGCTAATTTTTTTAACAACAAGTTCTTGGGGTGCCTTGGTGACTCAGTTAGTTGATCTGACTCTTGGTTTGGGCTCAGGTCATGATCTCAGTATCTTGAGATCAAGCTCTCCCCCTCCCTGCCAGTTGGGCTCAGCACTCTGTGGGGAGTCTGCTTGAGATTCTCTCTCCCCTTTCTGCCCCTCAGTGGCACAAATGCATGCATATGTGTGTGCCAGAGCGTGCTCCTTTTCTCTCTCTAAATCTTTTTTTAAAAATCTAACAGATTCTTTTTACTATGTAGATTCTATGTAATTGTATGTGTAAACATAATTGAATATTGAATGGCTAATGAATTATTCACCTAATAAGTATTTAGCCAGAGGGGCACCTGGCTGGCTCAGTGGGTTAAGCCTCTGCCTTCAGCTCGGGTCATGGTCTCAGGGTCCTGGGATCAAGCCCTATATCAGGCTCTCTGCTCAGCAGGGAGCCTGCTTCCCCCTCCCCCTCTGCCTGCCTCTCTGCCTACTTGTGATCTCTCTCTCTCTGTCAAATAAATAAATAAAATCTTAAAAAAAAAAGAATTTAGCCAGAAACTTGCTAATTTTAAAAAACATAATCTCAGGGTGCCAGGGTGACTCCGTCTGTTAACTGCCTTTGGCTTAGGTCATGATCTCAGGTCCTAGGATCAAGTCCTGCTCAGTGGGGAGTCTGCTTCTCCCTCTCCTTCTGCCCTCCCCGCCTTGCTTATGCTCACTCTTTCTCTCAAATAAAGATAAACCTTCTTTTAAAAGTTTTAGAAACTGACACTGAATGTACACTTAAAAATGGTTAAAATGGTAAGTTTAATGTTATATGTATTATGCCACAAATTTTTTTTTCAAGTAGGTTCCACACCCATTGTGGAGCCCAGTATGCGGCTTGAACCCATGACCATGAGGTTAAGACCTGAGCTGTAATCAAGAGTCAGCACTTGGGGTGCCTGGGTGGCTAAGTGGATTAAGCGTCTGCCTTCAGCTCAGGTCATATCTCAGGGTCCTGGGATTGAGCCCCACATCAGGCTCTCTGCTCAGCGGGGAGTCTGCTTTTCTCTCTCACTTTTCACTCTGTGCTCTCTCTTAAACAGATGAGTGAAATATTAAAAAAAAAAAAAAAAAGCAACACTTATCTGACTGAGATACCCAGGTACCCCTATTTTGCCACAGTTTTTTAAAAAGATAAATATATCGGGGCTCCTGGGTGGCTCAGTGGGTTAAAGCCTCTGCCTTCGGCTCAGGTCATGATCCCAGGGTCTTGGGATCCAGCCTTGCATCGGGCTTCCTGCTCAGCAGGAAGCCTGCTCCCCCCGCCTCGCCCTGCCTACTTGTGATCTCTGTCAAATAAGCAAATAAAATCTTACAAAAAAAAATGAATATCTCAACCTTCAGGAAATAAAAACAACTGATGTCACTAAAAGTAAATACAAAAGGGCAAAACAGTATTTATTCAAAGATTTTTATTTGAGAGAGAGAGAACATGTGCAGGGGGAGGGGCAAAGGGAGAGAGATAAGGGTGGGGTAAGAGTAAGGGTGGAGCCTGACTGGGGGCCCAATCCCAGGACCCTAAGATCACTATCCAAGCCAAAGTCAGCCGCTTAACCTACAGAGCCACTCAGGCGTCCCCAAAACAGTCTTATTTATGTCTCTTATTTATTTAATTTATTTTATTTTATTTTTGAAGATTTTATTCATTTATTTGACAGAGAGACACAGTGAGAGAGGTAACACAAGCAGGAGGAGTAAGAGAGAGAAAAGCAGGCTTCCTGCCAAGCAGGGAGCCCAATATGGGGCTCAGTCCCAGGACTCTGGGATCATGACCCAAGCCGAAGGCAGACGCTTAACGACTGAGCCACCCAGGCGCCCCTATATCTTTGTTTTAATGATAACTCTTATCCTTACTCCTTTTTTTTTTTTTTTTTTTAAGATTAATTTATTTGACAGGCAGAAATCACAAATAGGCAGAGAGGCATGCAGAGACAGAGAGATGGGGCAGCGGGCTTCCCACCAAGCAGGGAGTCTGATACCAGGCTCAAGTCCAGGACCCTGGGATCATGACCCGAGCCGAAGGCAGAGGCCTTAACCCACTGAGCCACGCAGGCGCCCCTCTTTCCTGATTTGCTAAGTGGATTAAATTATACCTACATTATGGGGCTGTTTTCAGAATTTTACATAAAACACCCATAACAATGTTTGGCAGTTTCTGGACAAAAACAAGAAAGATTCAGAAAGATTTAATCAAAGTTATGTCGGAAGCAGTGAATTTGAAAATCAGTGACAAAAGATACTAGCGAAATAAGGATTAGACTATATCATAGTTATTTTAGTAGATAAAAGTATAGTAATTATAGCTTGGACCCAGGATTATTGGTATTTGATAGGATTGTTTTGTTACTAATTCAAAGAAAGACTTGTGGGTTTTTTTTTTTTTATTGTAAAGGATAAGTAGGTTAAATAAATAAGTAAATAAATAAGTACTATGAGGAAATTTTTAAAGGAGTACCACAAATTGGATGATTAATTTCCATTAAATTCTGAGGTAAGCATTAAATGGTTAGTGGGAGAGAAAAAAGTAAGTAATAATTTTTTCCCTAAAAGTTAGGTAAAAGTCACGAGAATTTAAAATTTCCTTTGTGTTATTTCATTGTGATAAAGCTCAGTAATCATACTAGTACTTTTTTTTTTTTTTTAAACTATTCTCTGTTTCCTACAGGTTCATTGGCATGGATAAATGTTCAGTGAGAGGATTAGACTTGGATGAACAGACTCCTGTTTTATTAGAGCATAAAGCCATGGCAGCTAGTCTCGTGGATATAAGAAATTCATTTGGTAACCCAGCTAGTCCTTTAGTTAACAGATGTAGAAATTCGTCAGTAGAAGATGATGATGATGATGTCGTATTTATTGAATCTATACAGCCTCCTTCGACTTCTACTCCAGCAATAGCTGATCAAAGAAATTTTATATTTGGTTCATCAAGAAATGAAAGGCTACAAGGAAATTATTCCATAATTCTTCCTTCCTCAAGAGATTTGCCTTCTCAGAAGGGAAATGTAAGTGAGACAATTGTTATCGATGATGAAGAGGACATAGAAACAAGTGGAGGGGAAAAGAAAAATTCTTCCAATTTTGTTGAATGGGGACTTCCTGGAACTAAAAATAGAACCAAAGATTTGGATTTCTCCACTTCCAGTCTTTCAAGAAGTAAGGTAAATGCAGGAATGGGTAATAATGTTATCACTACAGAATCGACTCTGAAATTCCTATTACTAATGTTACAACCTTAGAAACAGGTATAAGCTCTGTGAATGCTGGGCGAGATACGAACTTAATGATTACACATATAAAACATCACTATAAAATACCAACTTGGGAGATGTCGCTAAAGGACTTCAGTCAAGTAATTTTGGTGTTAATATACAAACATACACCCCATCTTTGACTTCACAGACCAAGACTGCAGTAGGACCTTTTAATCCTGGTAGAATGAATGTGGCAGGAGGTGAATTTCAGAATGGAGAATATGCAACTCATCATAGTCCTGGTAAGCAGTAGTGATTTTATTTACCTTCTATATGTGAAATACTTTATTTCTCTTGACTTGCATATTAAGAATAAAATACATATATAAACTTGCAGTTTACTTGGTCCCTGATTTTTCAGAAATTAAGTCTATTTTACCCAATGTGTTATACATCTGAAGTGTTTTAATTGAAAACTTCCATACTTCACTGCCACCACCCTGCTAACTAGTATCTTTATTTTAATGTAAAAATAATAGAATAAAAAAGTGAAATGAAGAAATAGAGAAATATGTAATAATTGAATTTTATTTAATTTGTAATTACATAACTTGAAATTTCAATTTTTGCATGTTTATTTTTTGACTTTTTGTCTCTGATTTTTTATTTTAAATAAGCATTTTATTAGTTGCTTTATTTTAAAAGTTGGTCAACTTGCCCTTAAGTCAGAGCCCTGTATTTTTAAAACTTAGACAGGGTGCTTGGGTGGCTCAGTCAGTAAGTGCCTGCCTTCTGCCTTTGACTCAGGTCAGGGTCGTGGGGTCCTGGGGTCCTGGGATCAAGTCCCAGTTGGGCTTCCTGCTCAGTGGGGAGCCTGCTTCTCCCTCTCCCATGCTCCCTTTTTTTGTTCGCTCTCTTTCTTACTGTGTGTGTCTCTTTCTCTCCCCCTCCCTCTGTCAAATAAATAAATCTTTAAAAAAAGAAAAGAAAAAAAAAAAAAACAACTTACATGGACCAACTTGTTCTGTTAAAATATAAATGAAAGCTGTTTAAAAAATTAGCATATCTTTCTGGTAGCTTTGTAATGATTTAGTGTGGGGGTTTGAGAGTTTTAAAATTTATTTAGGTACTGTGTTTTGGCTGTTCTAGTGCTTTATAAACTGTTGACCAACTTAGAATTTTGGGAAATTTTTTTTTAATAGTTGGGTTTTTTTTTAGATTTTATTTATTTATTTGACAGACAGAGGTCACAAGTAGGCAGAGAGGCAGACAGAGGGAGAGGAGGGGAAGCAGGCTCCCTTCTGAGCGGAGAGCCTGATGGGGGGCTCGATCCCAGGACCCTGGGATCATGACCTGAGCCGAAGGCAGAGGCTTTAACCCAGGCACCCCAGAATTTTGGGAAATTCTAAAAAGTAGCTAAATATCAGAACCTCATTTATTCTTAATGGAATGCTAGAATTTTTTTCTTTCCTTTTTAAAATTAATCTTTTTCTGTAGTTAGGAGAATACTATCTGATTACTACGAACATTTGTAAGAAACATGGTTAGAAATAAGAAAATACTAGCAGGGACTACTGTTAAAATTTTGGTTTCTTTGCTTAAATACAGTTTTTGCCTCTGTGGTTTTAAAAAATAAATTCAGAGCATATTATATACAGTTTTGTGTTCTGTTGGTTTACTTAATCTAAATTTTAATATGTCATGTTAGAAATAGAAGTTTCTGTGGGACGCCTGGGTGGCACAGTTGATTAGGTGTCCCACTCTTGGTTTCTGCTCAGGTCATGATCTTAGGTATATTAGATTGAGCCCCACTACTCACTCAATCCATAATCAGCTCTGAGTCTGCTTGGGATACTCTCTCCCTCTGCCCCTCCCACTCATGCTCACACAGGTACTCTCGCACTCGTGCTCTCTCTCTCTCTCTCTGTCTAAAATAGAAAAGTAGGGGCATCTGGGTGGCTCAGTCAGTTAAGTGGCTGCCTTCTGCTCAGATCATGATCCCACAGTCCTGGATCAAGCCCTTCATCAGGCTTCCTGCTCAGTGGAGAGCCTGCTTCTTCTCCCTCTTTCCCTCTGCCTGCCGCTCTGCCTACTTGGTGCATGCTCTCTCTCTCTCTCTCTCTGTCAAATAAATAAATAAAATCTTCAGAAAAAATTAAAGAAAAAAATAAATCTTTAAAAAACAAGTTTCTGTGTCTATAAAATACTTCTGTCTGAGATACCCATTCCTCTACTTTTTTTTTTTTTTTTGGATTTGTATGGTTTCCTTTTCTTCCCCCCCCCCCCAAGATTTATTCATCTGAAAGAGCATGCGTGACGGGGAGGGGCAGAGGGAGAAGCAGACCCCCTCTGAGCAGGGAGCCTGATGGGGGCTCAATTCCAGGACCTTGAGTTCATGACCTGAGCCAAAGGCAGATGCTTAACCAGCTGAGCCACCTGGGTGTTCCTGTGATGTCCCATTTTTTACTGTTGAAACTGTACACTAAACTATAGTGAAATTATTTTCAAAATTTAGTGAACAGTGGCATTGTTTTACATTTCTGCAAATCTCTTTAAAGTCTGATGTTGTAGAAGACAGCAAGTATATGGTATCTTCTCACTTATATTTCTACATTGAATCTGTGCTATATCTTGTTTTAAGTATAAAACAAAAATCTGCCTCACATAGACATTTGGTTGTAGAGGAGAGCACTGTTCCAGATAATTATGGATAGTTGTGAGGTTTTTTGACACAGCACCAAAACTTGACGAGAGGCAGTTTCTTAAAATTTCTTAACAGTGTGGAATCTGAAACCATCTAGTGAGGTTTTCATACTTTATTACATTAAGGGTCATTGATCTGTGAATGAATTTTTTACCTTTATATGTTTGGTAACATTGTGCTTTAGTCAATTAAAAAATGCATATATTTGGAAAATATTGATGCACTGAACTTATGAATGTTGACCCTTTATTTTAAATGTTGACACTTAAGAAAGCTGTCAATCTGACAGTAGTGGATAGTTTTCAAAGACGCTGTTTCACTTGAAAGCTCAAATTTTCTCAGCAACTAATACTGTCATTTTTCTTGAAGTGAATTTTTCTTGATTTGTTTTCAAGAAAATGTCAATAGCCAGTTTGTCATTCTTTCAAGTAAAAATAGTATTTCATGAAAAAGTAGTTCAGCTTGCAATGTAACTATTTTACAAGCACTTTTCCATTTTTCCTTCAGACAACCATTGTACTTTGGTATGAAACAGAGGTGGTTTATTTATGTTTCCCTGCTTATGCATGTTTCTCTTTCATACAAAATATTAACATATAGTCGAATGCTTAAACTTAGTAAAATTAATAATAATTTTTACTATTTCATCACAGACATCTGTTGTATAAAACATAAGTTTACTGGCTTTTGTGTCCTTAGTTCTTAGGAGAAAGACTAAATCCTTGGAATTTCCCTAGTATTGGGATTGTGTTTTCTATTTATGAGCCCTTTGGATTACACTTGAATTTGGGCTAAGACTTGGGTGAAATGACGGAGGCTGAGGGAGGGTCACCAGAAAGACCAATCATGTGATTATAGAGTGTTGGAGGTTTTAGCCAGCCAACCTCAAGGGAGGAGAGGGATGCTGGAGATTGAGTTCAGTAACATGCAGTTAGGCACCAATAAGAACTGTAGACACCAAAGCTCAATGCAGCCTACTGGTTGGTGTATTCACCAATGTGCCAGGTAGGAAATGCTACCTGATTCCATAGAGAGTAGGCACAGAATCTCTGTCAGGCCTTCTAGACCTTACCCTCCTTTGTCTCTTCATTTGGTTGGTCCTGATTTGAATCCTTAATATTAAAACTGTGATTGTAAGTATAGAGCTCTCCTAAGGCCCTTCGGGTTGGGGAGGGGTCTTGGGAACCTCTCAGATTTATAGCTAGTTGGCCAGAAGTATGGGTGGCATCTGAAGTGACTGGCAGTCTTTTGGGGGATTATGCCTTTAAACCTGTGGGGTCCAATGCTAATTCCAAGTTAGTATCAGAATTGTATTCACCAGTTGGTGTTGCTATAACAACCATAAGTACAGGTGACACTTTTTCTTTTTTGTAGGTGTGTGATAGTGAAGAAATACAATTTGGTTCAACTCCCAGCAGTTTTACCTGTCACCGCTTTTGCACCATTATTGTAAATGCCAACACAGTGAAAAATGCAAAGAATCTTAGTATTATCTTGGAAATAGTTTGGCTTCACAGATCCCTGTTTATTTCTTTTTCTAATACAGTGTTGAATAGAACTGGTAAGAGTATAAAAAGCCTTGCCTTGTTTTTGACCTGGAGTGAGGGAAGAGGAGTATTTGACATTTCATCATATTAGCTCTTATCAAATAGAATTATCTTTTTTATATTTATATAATCATTTAATAGTTATTTGAAGTTGTTTCTAGTCTTTGATTGTAAAGAGGTTTTTCATGAATATTTCTGCAAACCGGCACACTTTTCTTACTGAAAAAAGTTTCTATAGGTGGAATTGCTAGGTGAAAGTGTCAACATGTTAAAAAAAAGACAGTGTCAACGTATTTTTTTAAAGATTTTATGTATTTATTTTAGAGCACGTGTGTGCATGCACATGTGAGGAGGAAGAGGGAAAGGGAGAGGAGAGAATCCTAAGCAGACTCTCACTGAGTGCAGACCCGGACTTGGGGCTTGATCCCATGACCCTAAGATCATGACCTGAGCCAAAACTAAGAGTGAGATGCCCAATTGACTGAGCCTCCCAAACACCCCATGTCAACATATTTTTAAAACTTTTGATGGTCAATGCAAAATTACCCCCCACCAAAAAAACGGTATTACTTTCCTTACAGCATTAATTTTTCCGTATCGTAAGTTTGAGGATAGGACTATTATTTAATGTTTGCTAAACTGGTCCTTGGAAGGTGGTGCCATCTTAATTTAATTTACACATCACTGAAGTTTTAAAAATTTATTTGCAAACTTTTTGTTCATGTTTGTCCTCTATAACTATGTACATCTTTTATTTATTGAATAAGAATTAAATCTGAGCAATCATGTCATAAAAACTTGTGATCTCTGTAACAAAGGGTGTGTTAAACTTAAAAGCAATTGAAAACTTTAAATAGCGTCCGTTGAAAACTGTCCTTCGGAGACGCCTGGGTTGCTCATTCAGTTTTGAGTGTCAGCCTTTGGCTCTGGTCATGATCTCAGGGTCCTGGGATCGAGTCCCCCATCGGGCTCCATGCTCAGTGGTGAGCCTGCTTCTCCCTCTGCCTGCCGCTCTCTTGCTTTCTCTCTGGCAAATAAATAAAATCTTTAA